TAATTGATCACATCAACAAGTTTAATGAGCAAGTATCAAGGCTGTTAAATGCAGGGGAGACTATCAAGGATGAAGAGCAAGGGCTGCTTCTACTGGCTTCACTACCAAAATCCTTTAAGCCGTTTGTGCAGTCAATGATAGCAGGAAGGACTACACTGCGACTAGATGAGGTGACGACTGCCTTGAAGGAGAGTCAAAGGATGATGGGAGGTGAAGAGTCTTCCGGGGACAGTCATTTACTAGCTGCTGTGAGTGTTGAGAAAGGGAGGAAGAAGAAGAGTGACCAACTTGGGAGAAGATCTCAGCTGAGAGACATGAGCACTGTTAGGTGCTATTACTGTGAAAAGTTGGGTCACACGAAGAACGGTTGTCCAAAACTCAAGGAGGACTTGCAGATCCTAAAGGAGAAGAAGAGCAAATCGAAGGAAGCTTCTTTCGCAAATGTGATCACTTATGAAGATGATCTCTTCTGAAGATAAGAGTACTGCTGGACAGAAGATTCTGCAGGATGGGAGTATCGCTGCAGAAATCGCAAATGATGTAGGACTTTGAATTAAGGGGAGATTTGTTGAGTGTTACTTCAAAGTCCCACATCGGTGGGATAGGAAAATTGAGGAGGGATTGGAGCCTATAAATAAAGAAAAGATATAGGCTTCCATCACACAACACAATCCTTCAATCTATATAATTGTGTATTAGATTTTAGGTTGTGAGTGTCAAATATTGGAGAGGGTTTGTAATTTTTCCGTGCAAAAATTACTAGTGAGATTTTATCCCAGATGGGGTCGTGGAGTAGGTCTTGAGGTGCCGAACCACGTTAAAAATTTGTGTGCTCTCTTTTCTTTTCTTTTCATTTATTTGCAGTGGGTGCCTAACAATTTGGATATTATTTTTCTCACTATTCATTATTAAATCCTATTTTAGGAATAAAAAAGTTTAAGTCCAAACCTTGCAAGCTTATTGCCACTCGTCGCCCGGGCTCACTGTTCGCCTTCCTACTCACTGTTCGCCTTCCTACTCACTCAGTACTGGTACGGTTTCCTCCGGTCCGTCCCGAACCCGCAAAAATATCCGGTTCGCCGCCGTCCCCGAGCGGGAGACTTCACCGACTTCTTCAGAGACCCCCAGACAGATCTGGAAGCAATCGGTCGGTTTCCTATCCGGCGGATCCAATCCGCCATTTCTCAGGAGACCCAATTTTTATTTCTTCCTCGCTAACTGTTCTGGAATTGATTTCAGCAATCATGTGGTCTCCTCTGGAATTGATTTCACCTTAATTGTTTCTGTTTTTCCACCTAATTTATGCATCACTTCTCAAATTTATCCTCTGAAGTTTGAATATAGAACACAATGAGATTTTATATTCACCAAAGATATGCTCATGTCAAAGATTATATTCATTCTTTCACTGTCATATGTGTATGATCATAGTTCATTCTTAATTGCAATATGAAAGATTAGGATTTGGATAGGTTTGTGTTAGTACATTGTAAGTGATGATTGTAATTCATTTTTACAGGAAAATGAGATATTGTCTTCCTTTGATGACCGTCTTCGTACTTATGCCATCAAACAATTGATTAAGGTAAGATTGACTGATTACTAGGATATCTTTAGTATGTGAAGCACACCTACTTATAATCCTTTCTTTGGAAACCCCACAACCAAACAAGTTCTTAGGGAAGTAAAAAGTAAAAACCATTCCCAAGCAAGATTAATCCATGTTATAATGGGACAACTTCATTTTGGTCAGCAGTTCGTCTGGTTCGTGGTGTGGTAGTAGTCGGATTTAGAGAAAAATAAGCTAGGTGTGTCCTTACAAGTAAACTCCTTCATACATAGTGCAGTGCTACTATGCAGATGAAGAGAAACTTGTTTATATTGTGTTTTAAACCCCATTTTAATTTAAACCTTAGTTTGAACTACCACAGTGTCGATTCTAAGCATTGTAAAGAATTCAGCTTGGAGTATTACAATGGTTTTGAACTACCCATTGTAAAGAATTCAATTCTAAGCAGAACCACAATGTCGATTTCACATTTTTATGGCAAATTGCCTACAACAAGCAAGACGAAAATAGAATCTGTAAAAGAAACTGAGAGATCCACACAAGCTGTTGCTTTCAGCTGCCATTTCACACCAACTTCAGCATTTAGATTTTTTTTTTTGGGTTTACTAATGTATATACATCTACCATATAAGGTGAATGTACGAGGAATGGAATTACTGTAAAGGAGAATTACTTAGTATGTTATTGAAGAAGATTGTCTGACATCTGATCCGCAGATTTCAAAGTATTGGGAATTTTGCAGCATCAATGAAGTCCAGCAGTGAAATGATCATCTTCACTTGCTCTCTGCAGAATGGCTGAAGGAAGGAAGGGGACAACAGGTGGCCTAATGGTCTGATGATCATGAACACGATTCATAGCTTGTGGCGCGACAGCAGCAGAAGAGGGTGAGGCATAATAGTCATTCACATTCCTGTTATTAATCTGCAGCCTTTTTATGATCCAATCATGGAGTGGAAGATTAGGCTGCACCACACAAGCAGAAGAGGATGAGGCATTATAATCATTCGTATTCGTATTGTTAATCCCCGGCCTCCTTATGGTCTGATCATGGAGAGGAAGATTATGGTCCAAGACAGCAACAGAAGAGGGTGAGGCATTATAATCCTTCGTGTTCCTGTTATCAATCCCTGGCCCCTCTAAGGTCCAATCATAGAGAGAAAGATAACGCTGCGCAGCAGGAGCAGAAGAGGGTGAGGCATCAAAATCATTTGTATTCCTATTATCAATCCGCGGCCTCCTTATGATCCGGTCATGGAGAGGGAGATTATGCTGCACAATAGGAGGAGAAGATGGTGGTGGTGGAAGGGGACGGAGCTGTTCTACGGTGTGGGCAAAGGTACAGAACCTTTTCATGCACTTTAATCCATCGCAGCAGTACTGGGTCCGGAACACGTCCGGATGATACCCAACCTCCAAATCGCCATGAGTGAATGCACAAGCATCTGCCCGCGGGCACCTCCCCTTGCGCCCGTGATAGTCGCGACAGCAAATGGGCTTGTAGTGGTACACTCTCGGGTCTCGCCTTCTTTCGTCTTTCCCTTCGTGATAAAAGGAACAGTACTTCCAGTTGTGGCGGTATCCTATGTTACAGTCCTGCACCTTAAATGTGTATGCCAATTTGGACCCCATGGCTAATATGTCTCTGTCTGATCTGCAGGATTAATGCGTATGAATTCAAAGAATTAACAGAGATTACAGATAGCCTCGAAAGTACAAATCTTTATCAAGAAGTCTCATCTGGAAATCAAGAAAGGGTGAGACTTGCAAGCCTAGCGTGTAAATTACAGGATTACATGAAATTTCAATCCAAAGGGATATTTTTTTTCCCGAAGAATGCATAAAGAAATGAAGATACGGGGGAATGGATACCTGAACTGGATGGAATGGTTGGCTATGAACGACCCAGTGAAAGGAAATTCCAGTTGCCTATAAGTTCAAAGAAAGTACAGATTTTGAACAAGAAATCTCGTCTGGAAATCAAGAAAGGGTGAACCCTGCAAACTTGGCGTTTGATTTACTGGAAATATAACTCTATGGGTTCTTTTCTGGTGGAAGAATGCATAGAGATATGAAGAGAGAGGGGAAAATGGATACCTGAAATGTAACAGAGCAGAGGAGAAGAAGATGACTGCGGGGAAGCAATAACGGAAATTCCCTCCCTCTGTTTAGTGTTTACTGCGTATTTTAAAGAGATTTGAAAGGCACGCGCTCGCGAGTAAATTGTTACCGCAGCTAAACTACTCCTCCCCTCTAAAACTGAATTATAGCTCTCATTAAGAAATAGAATTAAGAATTATACTCCATACATAGGAAAAAAGCAATTTTACAGTATACAAATTGAAGTCAAATTGAATAAACTTTTAACCTCAATTAAATAGAAAATACACTATTATTTTGTTTGTGTAAAAATGATTTTTAAAATTTATCTTGTACTCGTATAAAATTTTAAAATTAGTTTTCATTGTATTAATAATGCAAAATAAGTTTAGAGTAATGTTGATTAAAATTTCTTTGATTTTACTCTGAATAGTTAAATTGAACAAATACATAGAAACAGAAAGCATACTAATTTTAAAAATGTAATCCCGAAACAGGTAATTAAAAAAATGTATGATAATAATAAAAAATAAAAATTACCTTAACAACACTTTGGCCTTACAGGCATTAGTAGTAACGATTGGTTTTAGCATTTTCATAATGCTATATGACGAAAGCTTTCAAAGTTAGCATTTTCATAGTTAATCTATACCATTAAAATAAAATAAAATATTCATGTACAATGTCACATTACCACAGTACGAAATCTTATTTTGGAGAGAAAAACATGGAACTCATATTTTAATATTTTCTCTATGTTTTATTCTTATTTAAGATAATTTTTAGGATATTTTTGTTTGAACAATCGATTTCGAACTAATCCCTCTTTCTATTAATTTATCTCTCATTTTTATTTTTGGGTCATCCAAAGATTTATTTCCTATTTTGTATTTTGACAATAAAATTTTAATGAATGTGTCATCATTACATCCCATTTTTATTTACACTATTAATTCTATCACATCAAAGAGAAACATGAAAACATTTTACATTTTTTATTTTTAATTTGTAGTTTTTTAATCAAGCAAAACTGAGAAAGAAATTTTTGGACTAAATTATTTTGCAAGGTTTACGGGTACATTATATATCGTGTAGTCAACGGTCCAATGATGTTGCATAAAACAATTTTTCCCCTTGTTTTATGTGAAATTTGCACTAAATAGGACTAAAACATAATGACTTTCCTAATCTAGGACTTAAACTTTTTTATTTCCTAAATAGGACTTAATAATGTTTTCGTGGAAGGAATAATGCCCAGCAGTGATAGACATTTACTTGAATAATGACTAATTAATAATGACCAAAAGTCATACATGAGAAATAAAAATATATGGTCCTATTTGAAGAAAGTCATTATATTTTAGTACTATTTTGATAAAGGACCATGCTACACACCCCCCACCCTTGCTACCAAACTTGCCTCCACCCACTTCTCTACTACATATTTATCTCTACGTATTCTTCACCCACTCTCTAATTTTAATTTTCTTGCCTCCCTACCACATGTTTATGTAGGGGGCATGGGTGGTAGCAAAGGTGGGGGTTTTTAGCATTTTCCTTTGATAAATTACTCTAGTTTTATAGTGAGGCATGTACGGAAGTGCCAATTGAATTGATTTGTGGCCTCTTTATGTCCCCTCTCACATTATTCATTGAAACAACTAATCAAAACAAGGCGTCATATAATGGACCTACATTTCGTTGCTTCACAGGCGGCCACCACCGTGTTCGGAGAAAAGCTCTAACCGGCGGTCGTTTTAATGGACGCCCAACCCGACTGCCACGTGGTGGCGGTGCCGTACCCCGGCCGCGGCCACATCAACCCGATGATGAACCTCTGCAAGCTCATCGCCGCTCGTCGCCCCGGCACACTGTTCACCTTCGTCCTCACTCAGGAGTGGTACGGCTTCCTCCGCTCCGACCCGAACACGGAGAACATCCGGTTCGCCACCGTCCCCGACGTCATCCCCTCCGAGATCGGCCGAGCGAAAGACTTCGCCGGCTTCTTCAGAGCCACCCAGACCAAGCTGGCCGCGCCGGTGGAGGAGCTGATCGACGGGCTCCAGCAGCCCAAGCCGAACGTTATCCTCCACGACACTTACTTGCCGTGGGTGGTGTCCCTGGGGATCCGGCGGAATATTCCGGTGGCTTCTTTTTTCCCATGTCCGCCACCGTCTTTTCCGTGTTTCATCACTGGGATCTCCTTGTTCAGAACGGCCACACTGAAAAACCCAATCTTTCAGGCAAATTCACGACCTTTCCATTACCCTTTTTCTACTCAATTCCATCAATTTAGTTAGAATCGCCTAATATAAAAAGAACCCTTTGTGCTTAAGCTTAATTAAGGATTAATTCACTCATCATCTGCAGAAGTAGTGAACTATCTTCCTGGAATTGCACCAATTCAAGTCTCAGATCTTCCAACTCCTGTCTATGGCAAAGGCAAAGAATTGATTGATGAAATCCTTAAGGCCATCTCTGCTGTCTCCAAAGCACAATACCTTCTGTTCCCTTCAGTGTATGAGCTCGAAGCCGCCGCCATTGATGCTCTAAAGGAAAAGCTTCCCATCCCCATCCTCGCAATAGGCCCTGCAATCCCTTCGATCCCGGCCGATAATGGTCATAAAGATTCAGAGGACACTGTGATCAAATGGCTGAACGCCCAGGCCAGAAGCTCTGTTCTGTACATATCGCAGGGGAGCTTCTTGTCGGTCTCCGGCGCTCAACTGGATGAAATTGCCGCCGGCGTGCAGACGAGCGGCGTGAAGTATTTATGGGCTTCGCGCGGAGAAACCGCAAGGGGCAACAATGGGGGCTTGATTGTGCCCTGGTGCGATCAATTTAAGGTCTTGTGTCATCCCTCCATTGGCGGGTTTTGGTCGCACTGCGGCTGGAATTCGAGCAAAGAAGCGGCGTGTGCGGGGGTCCCTGTGCTGGCGTTTCCCATATTCTGGGACCAGACGACGGACGGGGAGCTGATCGCGGCGGCTTGGAAGATGGGGGTGAAGGTGCGGCGGCGGGGAGGAGAGGAGGACGACGGGGGTTTGGTGACGAGGGAGGAGATATCGGAGCTGGTGAGGAGATTCATGGACTTGGAGGATGAGGAGATGAAGGAGATGAGGGGAAAGGCGAAGATGATTCAAGAAACATGCCGGAATGCTATGGAGGAAGGCGGTTCATTTCATCTTAATGTTGATGCCCTCATCAAAGGAATCTTATGCAACAATCATNGCTTGGAAGATGGGGGTGAAGGTGCGGCGGCGGGGAGGAGAGGAGGACGACGGGGGTTTGGTGACGAGGGAGGAGATATCGGAGCTGGTGAGGAGATTCATGGACTTGGAGGATGAGGAGATGAAGGAGATGAGGGGAAAGGCGAAGATGATTCAAGAAACATGCCGGAATGCTATGGAGGAAGGCGGTTCATTTCATCTTAATGTTGATGCCCTCATCAAAGGAATCTTATGCAACAATCATTCTTGTTCATTCATTGATTTGTGACTCCTATATCATCCTCTAGGTTGGACTTGAGAAACTTAACTCAATAAGACTAAAATATAATGACTTTTTAAATATAAGATCATATGCTCTTATTTTTCAATATAAATAGTCATTATTCAATTAAATGTTCATCATTACTAGACATTATTCATTCCACTAAGTAATTATTAAATCTTATTTACGGAATAAAAAAAATTGAAATCTTACATTAAGAAAGTCATTATGTTTTAGTTCTATTTAGTGCAAATTTCATTTTTCTAAAGTATGGAGATGATGAATACATATAAAGATAATACTAACAAAAAGAAAATAAAGAATTATGATAATAATAATACGGAGTAATAAAATAAGAAAAGTAAATAATACCATAAGGTGATTTGGTAATAATATTGAACTAATAATATTGAATTGATCAATAATAGATTTATTTAAACAATGTAACGTGAAACATGAATTTTATTTTATAATTAAAAAGAGCATTATATTGTTCATTTGCCCATAATACTCAAGAAATTGAGAAAACATACTAGCTAGTAGCTACTAATTAAGCACACACTTACAACCCTTCTTAATTACTCCTATATTCTTATCCATCCATTCATAAGTGAAATGGATAAAGGTATTGCTTTTTTATTGTAATATTATAATAATGCATCAAACAATCAAGGCTTAATCCAGCACATTATCGTGTTTCAATTCATTGCAACAAATTCCATATCTCCAAATAGATTCTTCATTGTCTTCCTCGAAACACCATTACAAGCTGCATTCTTATCCACGAAAATCTTCATTCCTTCTTTCTGGATCTATAATGCACAAAATAATAATCCATTTAAAAACATCAGACACACACACACATTCTTAATTCCAAAAAAACGAAAGACTGCCCAATTATAGTTTGAATTTAAATTATGTTTTGTTTTGCTCTATTACTTTTCTTTATTGCCACTATTGGGCAGTTTTTCGTTTTTTTCGAGATAGAAGGGTTTGGCCTAGTCCCCTTTTTGTACTTTCCTTCTTTTTATCGTATTCCCTTCGTTCTAAAAAAAAGTTCCTATTTTGAAAAAGTGGAAAAATAAGGAAGTATGAAATTGTAGTTGACTTCCAATTTTGCCCTTGATGTGATGGGTAAAAGTAAGATATGATGGTTAGATTATTAGAGAAAAAGTATGATGTACTTCGTAATAGGTATGGTATGAAAAAACAAGGGTAAAAGTGGTTTTTTAAGAGAAAGTGGAAGTGTTTTATTGGAAGTGAAAAAAATGAAAGAGGAAGTGTTTTTGAGAACAAAGGGAGTAATAAATTACCTCTATCACACACACACACACATATTTCTATATATATTGATATTAGTATGAAAACACTTTATTTAGATTTATATTATGAGATATTTTTGAAAAATTTACTCCCTCTGTCCATAATTGGATTTCCTATTTCAATTTAGGAGGCATAACTAATTAACTTTATTTTTAATTAGATTTATCTGATTGTAAGTGTATAATTTAATAATAAAGTTTAAGTATTTAAAATTGCAGAAAAAGAGCTTAAAAATAACAGGCGACATTACTAAAAAGTTTCTAAAATTTACAATATTTCTCCTTTATTATGGGTAGAAGTTTTGAAAGTTTTTTAGACATTTAAACGGGATAGAAGTGTTTTATGTGATGTGCAAAAAATAAAACATGAACACCTTTTTAGATTTTCCAAAACTTAGCTATGATACTATGGTACGATTTGATATTATAAAACTACAAAGGTTACATCAATACTTATAAAGAATAAAAAATACTAACAAAAAGAAAATAAAGAATTATGATAATACTATTGAATCGATCGATAATAGATTTATTTAAACAATGTAACGTGAAACATGAATCTTATTTTAGAATTAAAAAGAGCATTATATTGTTCATTTGCCCATAATACTTAAGAAATTGAGAAAACATACTGCTAGCTAGTAGCTACTAAGCACACACTTGCAATACCTTCTTATATTCTTATCCATCCATTCTTAAGGGAAATGGATAAAGGTATTGCTTTTTTATTGTAATATTATAATAATGCATCAAACAATCAAGGCTTAATCCAGCACATTATCGTGTTTCAATTCATTGCAACAAATTCCATATCTCCAAATGGATTCTTCATTGTCTTCCTCGAAACACCATTACAAGCTGCATTCTTATCCACGAAAATCTTCATTCCTTCGTTCTCGAGCTATAATGCGCAAAAAATAATAATAATAATTTTAAATATGTGAAAATTGCATTAACTAGTACTCTGTATTAAAACATACTCCCTCCGTCACCGAAAGAAGTTACTTTATTGACTTTTTAGAAAAATTAAGAAGGATATTTTGGTGTTGACTTTTCAAAAATATCCTTAATTTGATGGATAAAAGTAAGATCTGATGGATAGATTATTAGTAAAAAGGTATGATTTAATAGGTAAGGTATGAAAACGAAAGGGGTACAAATGAGTTTTTAATAGAAAAGAGAACATCTTTGTAGGACAAAGAAAAAACGAAAAGGGAGAACTTCATCACGGACGTACGGGGTATATTTTTTTTCAATGTAGTACTTAAATTTTTCTAGTCTCTAAATAGTAATTGAATAATGTCTATTGGCATGAATAATATCCGGTGATGATGGACATTTAGTTTAAACAATGTCCAGTGACCTGTGGACATTGAACAATGGTACCATATTGAAAAATAAAAATATATAATACTCCATTATGAAAATCATTATGTTTAGTACTCCCTCCGTTTGCAAAAAGACTTCCCATTGTGATTTTGGGACAAAAATAAGGAAGTGTTAAATTATACTCCCTCCGTCCCATAAAATGTTACCCATTTTGACTAAAGTTGAAATTAAGGGAGAAATAATTTTGTGTTGACTTTCCAAAAATACCCTTGATGTGATGGGTAGGATGTGATGTGTACATTATTAGGAAAAAGGTATGATGTGATAGGTAGAGTTTGAAAAAATAATGGGTAAAAGTGGTTTTTTAATGGGAGAAAGACCAAAGTAGGACTAAAACATTGAAAATATACAAAAATATGACTTCCATATTTTTATTCTCGAAATAGGACTTACATTACCAATCATGGTCATATACATTACCAAAAAACATAGAAATTTGCATATGTACACTGTCACATTACCACAATGCAAGTTCACATTACCACAGTGCAAAGTCATATTCCGGGAAAAAAACATGAGAGTCCTATTTTGGTACTTTTATCTATGTTTTACTCCTATTTAGAATGATTTCTATTTTTGAATAGAAATGGGTAAGTCTTTTTGGAATGGATGGAGTATTTGATTTCTAATTTTGCCCCTGATGTGATGCGTAAAAGGAAGCTGTGATGGATAAATTATTAGAGAAAAAGTATGATGTGATAGGTAGGGTAGGAAAAAGTAAGGCAAAAGTGGTTTTTTAATAGAAAAGGGAAGTGTTTTGTTGGAAGTGAAAAATATAAAAGAGGAAGTATTTTTGAGAACGGAGGGAGTATTATATAGGCAAATTTTCCTTAAAAATATAGGGAGGGAGTAGGGTTAGGGTTGGGGTGGTCGGGGGGGTTAGAAGGAGGGATATGGAGGTAAGAACCATCGTTTTTACGAATGGGACATCATAGGTGTCCCAAACAAACGTCAATTGCCTACACCCTAATCCTTCCCCCTAAACCGGCACACCCGATGGCCTAAGTAATATATACTCCCTTAGAACTTTTAGTTTGTTTGTTTCTATGTTTTCATTGGTTATTTGATAAATAAAATATTCTTAACACCTCTTATTTCAAAATTAAAAACTTTTCAAGTATTTTTTTGATATATAAATTTTATTTTTTTTATTTTAATACTAATATGTAAATACAATAATTTAAAAAAACTTGATATTTTTTCTCGTGAATACAAGTGTGACAAATATTTAGAGACATGGAGTATATTTCTATAAATAAACTAAGGAGTATATTTCCTTACTTTTTTCTTTTCATCGTTACCGTAGATGTAGAACGAGAATAAAGCCTCCTTAGAACCAAAATAAGTACTGCCGGTTGACTTGATTGTATCCCCCAATTTTATCTGGTAATCATCTCGGCATGTCCAACATCTTCCATAATGAGGCTGATGATGAACAAAATCAATTGCATCATATATCATATAATTGTTTCTGTTCTGAGAGACATGAAAGAAATGATATATACTCCCTCCTTCAAAAAAAATTTCCTTTCTTTTTTCACCCATCCCCAAAAAAAATACTCCATCCGTTCCACAAAACCCTTCATCTTTCATTTTTCTTGAATTCCCTAAAACACTTCCACTTTCTATTAAAAAACCACTTTTACCCTTACTTTTTCATACCCTACCTATCACATCATACTTTTTTCCTAATAACCAAACTATCACATCTTACTTTTACCCATCACATCAGGGGCAAAATTGGAAAGTCAACCAAAATTACACTTTCCTTATTTTTACCCAAAGTCAAAAGTGGAAGAGTTTAAAGGAACGGAGGGAGTATTTTTTATTCCCTATTCCTACTAATTTTTAACTTACTTATCACATCACACCTACTCCGTATTAATCTATCCATCAAATCTTACTTTTACCCATCACATCTAAGGACATTTTTAGAAATTCAACGCCAAAATACAATTCCTTTAAATCCCTTAAAGATCAAAATCTCCCGTGTTATTAGGGAGGGAGTATGAAGAAGATAAAGTAAAATAAATATAAACCATGCAGATAGATATGGTTAGTATTTACAACTCTCTCTTTTGTTTGCTTGGGTTATTTTTACCGTGATATAAACGTGGCCATAGTACTGTGTGGGTGCCCAGGGAAGTACAGAAATAGCTACTCGAGCAGAGTTCTGCAGAAAGCAAGGGGCATCCCAAGTTCCGGTTGTTCCACCAAGATACACAGTTGCCACTTGTTCATAGCCAAGAGTGAGGGCGGCACTGCTGGTTTCGTTTGAAGAAACCCTAACAATGAAACACAACACCAACGTTGTTGTTGTTATTATTATTATTGCAGACGAAGAAGAAGAAGAAGAAGAAGATGGAAGAGGCTTATTCATTCCCCAAAACCCCATTTTCATTTTCACCCAATTATCTTACTAATAACTCTTGTATATGTGTCGCACTCACTCCCCATCTAAACCCTGCTGCCCCATATATATATAGACATACCTATGGTACAAACTCATCAATTTGGTTTAAATCCCTAAGTCAATAATTGCATGAGATGTTTTAATTTATCAAAAGAAATAACCTTAAGACTAAAAATAGATTAATTATGAGGCCAAATAGCTTCGGTGTCCCTTGTGATTTGAAAAATTGGCACCAATACCCCCTCTATTTTCAAAACTTACTTCTAAAGTCCCCGTGGTTTCAAAACGTTGCACCCACACCCCCTCTGATCATTTTCCGGCGAATAGGAAGCATTTGCGCATAATTTTTAAATCATAGGGGGTATTCGTGCCCATTTTTTATTTTTCGTTTATTATTTGTGTTTTCCTTTTTTTAAATATTATCTCTTTTTCCTTTTCCTAGATTTTTTTCTAAATTATTTTCAATTTTTTATAATATTTTAAAATTTTTAAAATTTTTTGTGTTTGAAATAAAAATAGAAAAATTAACATACATTACATCTATTTGAAATTAAACATTTTCACTTTTTGTTACGCACTTATTTGGAAAGTTCAAAAAGAAAAACCTAGAATAAAAAAATAAAAATATGGAAAAATAAAATGAAATATAAAAAATACACAAAAAAAGTTTGATACAAAAAAAATGACAAGCCTAAAAAAGTACTTAGAATTGAGATGTTCGAAAAAGATATTCATTTTTATTTTTGTATTATTTTGTTTCTTATTTTATTCCTCATTTTTTTGAAATTCTCAAAAAAAAAGTTTACTTTTTTAAGAAAAAACAAAAATTGTTGATTTGAGACGTACATATATATTATATGTTAATTTTTTCAAACAAAAATAACTTTAAATTTTCTGAACATTATAAAAATAATTTTAAAAAACCTTTATTAATAAATGAAACAAATAAAGGAAAAATAGAAAAAAACAAAAAAATAAGCGAGAAATAAATATCAGCACTGATACCCCCTGTGGTTTAGTAAATATGCACCAATGCCCTCCTTTTTCGTCGGAAAAATGGCCCGAAAATGATCAGAGGAGGCACGGGTGCAGCATTTTGAAACCACATGGACTTTAGAAATAAGTTTTGAAAACATAGGAAGGGGGTTTTGGTGCCTATTTTGCAAACCACAGGGGGTACTAGCGCTATTTGGCCTTAATTATGAATATAGGAATTCAATGTTTTTGTGCCGTGAATAGGAGTTCGTATTTATTGTGGTAATGTAGTATACTGTTCATAGACATTTCACAATATTTTTTGATAATGTACATATTCAGGATTGGCACTATATATGGAGATACATGTGTACCATTTCCCTTTTAAAGAAGAGGCATCACACAATGGAAGGGGGAGGCCAGATACTCACGCTACACACTCCTACAACTAGAGAACTCGATTTGTTCTATTGTTTTGCTTCTTCCTTTTAAAGCGTGGAGCTCTATTATTGCTTCAAGAACCTCCATGCATACATGTAATAAAACTCCATCAATATTAATAAAAGTTACTCCTCTTTGCATGTTACCACATAAAAAAACCCGTGGTTTCTTCCAATTTGAGTTTTCACGTAAAAATATTTCCTTTCTATTTTATTTATTCTTTAATTATTGGCCTTCATTATTCGGTGTGGTGTCAAACAAATACCGAGCTTACGAGGCAGGCCCCAAAATTGCATATTCCATCATTGGTTCCATTTTCTGGGGAGAGTTTCAAAAAAGTTATATTGTGGGTTCTAAAGGTATTAGAGAGGGGAGAGAGAAGGTTTGGAGTATATTTAGAGGAGAGGCATTGATAGTATCGGGATAAGGATAGGCACCTTCGAGCTCCAAGAAAAAAGAGACGAGAAGAGGGAGAGAACCGCAAATCTTTAATTTGTTCGGCGGAAGAGAAGAACGAGGGATAAGAGAAAGAGATTAGGGTTTAGGAAAATGATTATTCTTTTTTCATTCCTTGATAATGCTATGGTGATGGATACATTTATAGGCTCCAACTCTAGAGAATCCTAATAATAAATGGTAACTAAATAAATTAAAAATCCTAATTATAAAAGATAACTAAATAAACTAGGAAACCAAATAATCACCTAACAAATATATTATTCCTTAATAATAGTTAACTAACTATAAATAATTTATTACCATAATAATAATAAGTCCCGTAACAGGCATTAGATTCTTGCATCCTCATCGTCTAGTGAGCCTCTAAGATCCAGTGTCTAGAAGTCGTTCGTGGTACAATGAGCTACGGCATCCAGCGAGCCTCCAGGGTCTAATGAGCCTCATACGTCGTCTATTCAATTCAGCCTTCGACGTCCATCGAGCCTCTAGCGTCTACTGAGCCTCCATCATCCAATGAGTCTCTGATGTCCATAAAGCCTTCAGTGTCTAGCATGCCTTTGGCGTCTAGTGAGCCCTCCGTCGTCCGATGAGCCAGGGCATTCAGCAAGCATCCAACTTTGATGTCCTTCAAACTTATACATATAGTGAGCCTCCGACATCCAATATCTAGAGACCATCTATTGTCTAGTGAGCCAAGGCATCCACGAGCCTCTAGCGCTTAATGAGCATAAACATCTAGCGAGCCTCTAGCAACTTTGGTGTTTAGTGAGCCTCCATCGCCCAAAGAGCTAGGTCATCTAGCGAGACTCCTTCATCCAGGGAGCCAGGGCATCCAGAAAGCCTCTAGGTGTTTTGAGCCTAGGTGTCAAGAGACCATGCGACATCTAGTAGTCAACTTTTTTCGTCTATTGAGCCAAGGTGTCCAGCGAGCCTCTAGCGTCTGATGAGCCTCCGACGTTCATCCAACCTTCGGTATCCAACAAGCCTCCAGCATCTAGTGAGCCTCTGATGTCCAATGTCTAGAGGTCGTCCGTCGCCCAATGAGCCAGGGCGTCTAGCAAGCCTCCAGCGTTTAGTGAGCAAGGGCATCGAGTGAGCCTCTCACAACTTCGGTGTCTGGTGAACCTCTATCTGTAACACCCCAACTCGCATAACCCGAAATTATGGGTTAGTGAACCAGGTTGCTACCATTCCGGTATCCAATCACGCACTAATTTCAAAACAATTTAAAACATCCAAATAATTCTCAATTTAAAACCCAACATCGGAGTAAAATAAAACAATGCGGAAGCTTAATAATTAAAATAACACAACTTAGGACTCATGCCCGAAAATGCAATGTGTTATTCAGAAATAAATATGAATTCCAAATCATCAATTAATTCCACCCACATCTCTTCATTCTCATCACCTTCCGGGAATGGCTCTAGGTTCATCATGTGTTTGATTACCTGCGTGTAGCAAACAAACAACTATACGCTCAGCATTAATTCTAATACCTTATTTGATGCATGACGGAAAGCAAGAGTGTTAACACTTTACGCTAGACTGCTATTTGATATTGAATATTATGATGATTATTATTATTGATTATGGTAATTAAACTTTGATGAATATTCTGATTAAAATGATAATTATGAATGATTGAATCATGATTAAAAATGAATATATTGTTGATTATGAAAATAAAGTGTATTGTTAAGGTATCTAGAAGAACTTTAACATATACCCATATTGATATTGATTTTGAAGGGTATCTAGAAGAACTCTAAGACATACCCATATAACTAATTTAGATAATTGACGTTGATTATTAAGGATATCTAGAAGGACTCTAAGATATACATATGTGATTAATTTAGTAATCTGTGGTTAAAACGTACGTACGGGATCCCAAAAAAATTAAGAATTTACTCGTTTGGGGATATCCCCCACCCGACAATAAATAAGTCCATTGTTCGGTTGGAGTGTGATCCATAAGACTTGTAGGATTGATCATCGATTCTTGAGTTCTTTCTTAAACTAATTATGGTTTAAGAGCCTGGTTAGAAATATTGTCTTAGACTAAGAATAGTTTAAGAGCTTAGTTATCAAAATGATTTGGCCTTAGATCATGAATAATTTAATAGCAGTGTTGAAATAATGAATATTGAATGTTGTATATATCATGAAATGACTCGAATTAAAATACTATAAATCTCATGAATGATGAATGCTTGAATCTAATATTATGTACATGATATCAAATGATTTGATTATGAATTGAGATTCAATTTATATGAATGTTCGATGCATTAGATATTCTTACTCATCTCCAATGTTGAGCGTGTAGTATGTTTTATTTGCTACACGCAGAAAAAACAGAAAGAATGAAGTGACGTATTTCAGGCGGTAGATGGGGCGAGATTGTCAAGATGGATGTGACAATTTAAATTATGATTTCCAAAAGACTGGAATAACTATTTGTGATTGATATGTGACATATTTTAATTCGCTTCCGCAATATTAAACACTACGTATTATTACTGTGTATGTATTGAATACTCCCCCCGTTCCTTTAAACTCTTCCACTTTTGACTATTGGCAAAAATAAGGAAGGTGTAATTTTGGTTGACTTTCCAATTTTGCCCTGATGTGATGAGTAAAAGTAAGATGTGATAGTTTGGTTATTAGTGAAAAAGTATGAAGTGATAGGTAGGGTATGAAAAAGTAAGGGTAAAAGTGGTTTTTTAGTGGTTTTTTAATAGAAAGTGAAAGTGTTTTAGAGAATTTAAAAAAATGAAAAGGGAAGAATTTTGTGGAACGGAGGGAGTATTATTTAAGATAAATAAAAATGTTTTGTTTTAAATTTTACGATTACCAAGTTTATACTTTAGTCCGGAAGGGGCTACAGATCTGAGCGAAGTAGGATGTTACAACTACTTAGTTCAAAAAAATTAATTATCACATGCAAATCTCGAGTAAAAACAAATCTCACATACGTGTGACATGTCTTGTTAGAATATAAAAATCTTTCTTGTGCCAAAACTTCAACCTTGAACTTTTGGTAGAATTAATTCTTTACACTAAATATAAAAAAACTTTCGGTTATATAAGACTAATAATAAAAGTTACTCTATAAGTAAATAATTGTGGTCCTATTTCATTTAAAATTGGGCCATGGTCCATGGAGATATGTGTAGTAGCTATCAAAGATGACAAAATAAATAAATACTCTTTAAGTCTGTATAATGGCTCTTGGAGTTTTATGCCAGTCTAAAAGGACCCTCAGTCTGTATGTTTTAAAATTAAAAAAAATCCTTTTCAATTTTAACAAAAAAGTAAATTGTATGGTTCACATGACATCAATTATTCGTTGGTGAGATTTGATTTCATGGTGAGTTTGAAAACCCCTTGATGATAATTTCAATTTTTTATTTTTCAAAATTTCACCAAAAATCAATATGTTAGAAACTTAGAATTTAAGGTCAAAATTTCACCAAAACTCTACTCCCTCCGTTCTCAAAAACATTTCCTCTTTTATTTTTTCCACTTCCAACAAAACACTTCCCTTTTCTATTAAAAAACCACTTTTACCCTTACTTTTTCATACCCTACCTATCACATCATACTTTTTCTCTAATAATCTATCCATCACATCTTACTTTTACCCATCACATCAGGGGCAAAATTGGAAATCAACTATAATTTAACACTTCCTTATTTTTGTCCCAAATCAAAATGGGAAGGGTTTTTCCAAACGGAGGGAGTAATAAAATTAATTTTGCATCAATATCTAATATTAAATTATTTAAGGTCAAACTTTACCAATTTTGACGGGAAGAAGCAAAAATTAGATAAATACTCAAGGACATAGGAAGTACTATTTTTTACAGTTTTCAAAATTTGAGTATCTTATTTTATATGAGCCCTATCCCTGAGAGTCCCCCAAGACTTAGCTAGACGTTCACTAAAAGTAGATAAATTGGACTTTAATTACAAATTGGTGACAAAGAATATCGATATCATTTTATCATTTCATGGATGGGGTTGGGTCCCTTTTTATGAGAGGCTGATCGAGGTCCTGCATGCTCGTCATGTGAAGCTGAGAGTCTGAGACTAGAGCACAAAAGTGAGTTTTTGAAATGAATTTTGAATTAAATCGGAAAGGAATTTAGTTTTTTTTAAATAAGGAATTTAATTGACTTTGTTCATTTCCTTATCTAATTAGCTCTCTTCATTTTAATCCTGAATGCAAACAAAAAAGGCATCTTGAATTATTAAGCATTATTTGATTGCAACTAAGGACGAAAATAAGGAAATATCTTATTTTATTGAAAATCAATAAAAATAAACAAATCAATTAAAATAATCATGATTTTGAAATAATACCGAGTGACCTTCTTTTAGAAACGAAGAGAATATTTATTTAATTTGTCCTCTTTGAATGCTTCCTGAACCAGAATTATATTGTTCATTCATATTTGTTTTAAAATGTAAAGTCCAAATTTGTAAAGTTTGACTTTAAAACTCGAAAGAGAAAATATCTCTTATGAACTAAAACAAATTTTAGATATCAAATTGAAATAGGACTATTAAAATTTTATATCAAAATAAGACTTATAATACAAAAAAATACTCCTTTTTTCTCTAAAAAATTCCGTGTTTTATTTTTTGCGTATCCCACAAATCACTTTTATCTCATCTAAAATATTTAAAATACTCGCCCCAAAACAATAACAAGTAATAAATGAGAAGTGTATTTAGAGATGCGTAAAAAATGAAATGAGAAATGTTTTTAGAAACGGAAGGAGTATTAATAGAACTTTCACCATGGTTCTTCTCAAACACAATTCATACGGTTAAACTTTATTCATTTTGGTTGATTATTTTCCATACTTATTTCATATTAAGATACAATCATATCACATCTTGTTTTGTTGGATATTTTATCTAGTTTTAAATATATAAATTTTACAATACAACTTGATATATTAAACTAAAAGTAAAATTGGCAAATTTTTGTGATGCTTAACAGGAAGATGGGAGAATATCATTTCAGACATACTCTGAGAGTAGAGGTATGCATCAGTACAAAACTGGACCGGACCATCCCGGACCAGGACTGAATAACAGCCAATGCATGGATCAGAGACCAGACCAAATAAGACAAGGATCGGACCGGTAAAATTCGAACCGGACCGGAACCCGAGCGAATATAGGTAAAAAAAATTAAAATGATTTTAATTATTAAATTTAAAGTACTCAATTGCATAGATGTATTACTACTATCAATTTTTAATGTGTAACATACACTTAACATTATCAAACTCCTTTTTGTTTTTAATTTTTCGAACAAACTTTAAAGAAAATACATTTTCTATCTACCTCACGGAAAACTAATTAGCAAATTTTGTTTTACATATGGAGTGGTCTTCTTTTAACTTCTTACTTTTTGTAATGTTTTTTTTGTGTTTTCAATTTATTTTGACAAACGGTTAGTTTATTTTTTTATATTTTTTTAATGAGATTTTTTTACAATGTTCATTTTTATTAATTAGACTTTCGTTAGTGATAAAGTTTAAATTGAAGTTATAGTATTAGTACATAGTTAAACATATATTAGATCGCTAATATAAAAGTGTAGTTTACTTTTTTCACACGTACTTTTCATATAATTTTTTATAGATATCATTATAATTTGTATCTTATTTTTAATTGGTCTATCTTAAAAAATGTTGTTAAAAATTAAAAACATAACATTAAAAACTTTTAGTATTAAAACGAAAGAAACATTATAAGTATAAGAAAAAACTTCAAAGACAATTTTATAAAGTTATATAAAATAATTATTATATAAAAAAATCTAACTAGTCCGAACCAGAAATCGGTAGATTGAACCAGACCGGACCAATGATCGAATAAAAAAACTTGAGGACCAAAGATCAGACCAAAAAATTGGTCCAGTTCAGTTTTAACCGGATTTCGAGTTGGTCCGGATCCAGACCAAAAATGCACCCATGAGGGAGTACGTATCAAGTGGGATTGGTGAAGAGAGTGACTACTGGCCGGTGGGCGTTGCACAGTTGGCAAAACAATGAGTGTCAATGAGGTAACACCCGAGTTCGGTTTCTGGCAACTGCGCTAAGAAGTAATTATGTCAAGCATAACATCTCTGCAAGTATCA